TATATAATGTGTGTGTGTGTGTGTGTGTGTGTGTGTGTGTGTATGTGTGTATGTATGTATGTATGTATGTATGTATGTATGTATGTATGTATGTATGTATGTATGTATGTATGTATGTATGTATGTATGTAGGAAACAGTTGCTTAAAGTTACATACGTAACAGCATATGAATAATTACCATTTGTTGTTTTAATAAATTGTCATGATTACCTTAGCTTTTTAAAATGGTATTACGTATTTTTAATCTAGTAGAGTTATAGCTGACGCCGGAATGGATTTATATAATGACTTTCACATGACCTTGAACTCAAAAATTTGTACTAAAAATGATTAGAAACGTTAATATGAAAAATGATTGTATTTTAACTAATTGTAAGTAACATACTCAAAACAATACAAAAGTAATCAGATTAATAAGTTTATGAGGTAAATGAAAGTAATTATTAAATTCAATAATATTTTAATTCAATAAAAATAATACGTTTTGCGCGCAATGTTTTATATCCAGTTAGGGCATTTTGAATAATATGTGTAATTTTCAGTAGGTCGATGAATTCTCGGAAGAGAAATGTAAGCAATGAACGATCGATAGAAAACATTGTCTTAATTCTTATTGTTTCATATCGTATATTAATTAAAATTTCTGAGTTCAAAGCCATGTAATATGGGTTGTTGAATTCGTCGTGTCGTCAGCTATAATCCTGCTAAATAAAAAATAAATGGTGTCATCTAAAGAAAGTAAGGTGATCTTGAATATTTATTAAGAAAACCACATTTTTACAGAATTTGTTTATTACAGTTAATAACAAAGTACATATCGGTTAACTTTGTTAAAACATTTTTTTATGGAACTATTAAAAGTGCCTAAGAAATGGTGGATACTCTTACACGATACATTCTGTCTAATAAGAAATCAAGTCTGAGTTTATATATCTGGAACTCACTGCAAGCTTGTTCATATGACAGGAAGTCAGATAAATAGAGCTCTACTGTACTCTAATCTGGTTTCACTATCATTAATAAGAGAATAGAGAAGGCCAACTAATTTTTCTCTTAAACATCTCTAACGAATATATTACTTTCGTTCTATCAGTACAGATTAATACTTTTTGACTAAGTATAATATATTTACATAACATTGGCTGGCAACCAATGTTAGATTTGATTTATATCTAAACCAATACAAATTTTACTTTCATATTACTAAAAGGAAATACCAAGAATTACCGTTATCATGAAGTTAAAGAAATTTCCCTAATAAAAATAAATTATAATAGGTCTTATTCAGCTACATATTAATAATATCTGAATGAATCGTTTGTATAAAAAGTCAATCAAGAAAAATTGTAATATTTGTGTAAGGTCAGTTGACGTTGTATGAAATATAATAATTGACGCGTTAGGCACACTTAAACTGGATTAATCTGTAAGAGCGGGTGACAATCATTATTTTCAGTTTCTCAAGAGAAATATTGATTTTCTTTTAATTGCATGCCTTTGTGGCTTTCAAAATAAATATGAAAGAAACAATTTGAGGGAATAGGCAAATCAAAATCATTTTGGAGTAGATAAGACTCTTCCTATTATATTGGAAAGCAATCCTAAGTCAGACTAAATACATAGAAATTTCGGTAATTATTTAAAGGGGCACCAAATTGAAGATCTTAGTCTTCATATATGTATTAAGGACATTATTTAGAATTACTTTTCTTTATATATACGTAGTGTTACTCAGCCTTAATTTCAGGGATATATGTAAAACTACTTTGTAGAGCGTGTTTGGGTTATATGTATGTGGGTTCAAATGTTGAGTTAAGGTCGTTGCCCACTTATCAACACAACGCCAGCTCGGTACCAGACCGTCATTGACATATTCACATTATTTACACGTACAATAGTATTTAGAAGTGTCCACTTATCGATAACAGAGCGCAGCATCAATACGCCTTATTACCGGTTATACGACGATTACATACCCTTTATATGCTGCCCGCTTGTTCACGGCTAGACGGTATACTGCTGCCAACGAATTGGTAGCTAGGATAGATCACGATAAATTGTTTGATCACCTTCGCTTTCCTTTAATTAAGTAACATTATCATTATAGTCAGTTCTTTAATAATGAATTTTGATATATAGGATATTCCTAAATTGTAGCGCACAATTGATAGAGCATGTACAACTTATCAAACCGAGTAAAAAAGCTGCAGTAAACACGGGTCCAAAACTCAACAGTTTCCAAGATAAAAATAGGTTTTGTTTTGAAGAAAATGTATGGGGACCGAATCAAGAACACTGAATTATTTCGAAAAATACGAACGAGAATGTGTCAAACAAAAGCTGTAGAATATGAATATGAAATACTACATATCACGGTGGGGGGTATTTGACTGTAACGTGGCCTTGAAACGTCCTACTAAGGTGACGTTACAATTCTTATGCAGAACTTTATAGTTTCTATTTCATATTTTTGAAGTCGACATTCAGACGTTTCCAAACCATAGAACTGAGATTTTTCGCTTACACCGTTATTTCAGCATTAAAAATTGTCCGTTTGCCCGATAGTGATCGCAGCCGACAGACAGTCGGACTCGACACTGTCAAGTTTGTTACAAGGATAAGAGCGTTCTCGGTTGAGCAACCGTAACGCTTCAGTTTCGACTACTCCGTAGTGATTTAATCTTGAGGTGTGACGGAGTGAATAAAACGCTTGTGTAGGTTCCTGTAAGGATGCATGGGAGGATAAAAGAGATGGTAGGGAGGGAATGCAATGATTGAACGAACAAGGACGCTGGATATTACGTTCCTTTACTCTCTCATGACAGTTGCACTGTCCGGTGACTTCCATCACTACCAACAAACTGGCAATTTTGGATGTTGATATCTAGATAATAACTTACGTTTAGAAATGTCTGAATGTCAGTTTCTTCAAAAATACGGAATAGAAACTGTAGCGTTCTATTTAAAAATTACGACATGCCTCAGATGTTTCAAGGTCACATCAGGGTCAAATACCCTCCCACCATGTAGTATTTCATACCCTGTAATTTTAGGTTGACACATTTGTTCGTGTTCTGATACTTTTCGAAATAATTCGGTGTCTTTGATTTGGTCCCCATACATTTTTTTCAACAAGACCTACTTTTATCTGGGAAACTATTGAGTTTCAGACCGATGTTTACTAAAGTTTTTTTTACTCTGTTTGATGAGTTATATACCTCCTATCATTTGTGCGATAGATTTTAGAAACACCCTACATTCGAGAGTACAATTGCATGTGTTACCGACTTGTGAATAGTTGAATGTCGTGGTACTGTTTAGTGGGTGATAATATTGAATATGTCGATAATGATCTACTTATGTCAGGCTAGTTGTGTTGTACTATTAAATAGATGACAACCTTTAAGTGTAGTTTACTTAATTCAGCCGTCACGCTGTTAGTAATAAATATAATAAAAAACATATTTCAAGGAATCGATGATCAGGTGTATCTCTTTGTAAAAAATTACCAAATTAAGTCCAAAACTGCGAGGGGTGTCAAATTTCACGAATATCTTAAAAACTGTGAAGAACCTCTGATTAAATGATCAGAAAAGGTTACTCAGAAACGTGTCCTTAATAACATATGTATGTGAAGATCAAGGTTATTGGCGTAGTATCTCTTAAAGCAAATATTTATTGAAATTTTTTAGAAATTCGTCTGATTAATTATACAAGTATGCCGAATATTAACATAATTGGCTGACAATCAATCATAGATTTTTATTTTCTACCCAATCCCTCTACCTTTCTATGTGAAGATCAAATTTTCTCGGTGAATCCATAAATCTGAATGGTGTGTAATTACTATACAGAGTGCGGCAGCAACGATATTACAAGCACTATTAAATTTATTCTTTCATTAAACATAAAATGTAGAATCTGAATATTTAGAACAACAATTTTTTAAATAAACTTAGTTTCCAAAAAGCCAATATCGATTTGTTTGGTATTCCATATATTTGTGCTTATAGTGAAATAAAATATTCAAGTTCTACTCACGATCAGTTATGCGTGCACTTGGTCGCAACTTCGCACGAAAAGTTTTATTACATAATTTCGATTACTCTTAAACTTAATAATTATAGTTTTGTACTATTATTACTATCGTATTCTGTATGTAAAACATAACGTTTTACTAGGTATTTATTTTCTGAAATTGTATACAATTAAAGATGAATATAATTGTAATAATAATTGAGAGTTACCGATTATTCCTTGAAATATATAACTAAATCGATTTGGTTTTGGATTAATTAAAACAAATACTAACTATATGCAGACAATGATGTATAGTGTTGCTTAAGAATTAGAGTTTTCTCTTTGTTTGTATAATATGATATACTCCTGCAAAAATCACGAATTACCTTTTAAAATTTATTTATGTATTAATCTAAAACTTTAGATATTAATGTCATTTATGGTACAAATAACTCCAT